ATTGCATTGGAGGTGCAAGGGGCTCAGCATCGGCTTCATAGCACTAGCTGGTATAAGGATGTTAAAAAACTCGAAGATATTGTTAATCATGATCGGCAAAAACGATGTACAGTATATGTCAAGATAATGGAATTTTCCTTCTAGAAGTATGGTACGACGAAAAACCGGAAATTGTTATTCCAGAAAGGATACAAAAAATTAAAGAGTATGTTTGTATAGCATCTAAATGTTTCGATCTCTTGTAATCAATAACCTTATAATATGTAATTTATTGTTTTTTTCACATATTCTATGTGCTAGTAAATTTCAAATTAACGATCATCCGAAATAATCATGTGAAAAAATCTCTTGTCTGACGAATGTAGTAACGTTTTAACATTGTCAGCGACATAATCAATAATCATGTACTGTATATTTAAGTATAGAAAATTTAGCAAAGCGCGTCATGTATCACATTTACGAGCCAAATCTTGTAATTTATTTACTACGTTAATAAAGAATTCGGCCGAAAAGGCTATAAATTGTATCAAGAATATTTTTCGTGGGATATAGAGATAGATGTATGGTGAATAAAAAAAGTGAGACCTAAGTAAATGCATGTAATTTATTCTCGAAATTTCCCGCATTTTCTCAAAGTTCACAACAAATAAGTTCTCCTTGTTGATTTTTGTATATGGGTAGCGTCAAAGTTTTTATTATGAATCCGTTGATCAGATTTCGTGATGCGATCATATTAACGTAATCTCCCCTAAAAGTGTATTCCAAAATCAATCCTGCAAATTATATAAAAAGGTGATGTCCCGGTTAGTGAACCCTTTTATCCGCCTTGCTAAAGAAAAACAAAAAATAAAACAAAAATTCAAACTTACTTTGCGTCATCAATCCAAACTGCTAATCGATATAATAAAAAATAAAATCCCGTCTCTCCTTCCAGACCTCTGGAAATAACAATTTTTTTTCTGAATTAGGAAGGGATACGATGCTATCCATGTATTTTTTTCCGATTATAAGAGGAAAAATAAATAAACCGGACGTACTCTTCTCGGCATTTTGATCTTCGTCGAGAAAATCACTGACCATCATCACGCGTACAATAGACACAGTGAAATTACTCACATGAATCTCGTCACATGCAACGGCACAGCAAAAGTCTTGCGCGGTATATCAGAAAATGTTAAGCAATCAATTCAGGCGGAATGTAACGTTGTGAAAATTAATTGTAGTGGTAAGTGGTATCGGAAATGTCTTGCATTATTTTTTTACCTCAGTTGATAATCACCAAACTTATGCTGTAGGTTCGAAATTACTTAATCTTGTGGAAGTTGCGGGTAGATATGGGTGGAATAATTTATTTCGGAAATCTAGTATAGTAAAAGAGTGTGGGGGGTGAGAATCACGTAATTAGCAGTAAAAGTAGAAACAAATTAGTTATAGATATTTTTCGTAAATGTGAGAGAGCGAAGAAATAACTCGATGCTGGATTAAATGGCATAGGATCCGCGTACTCCCTCCCTCTTTTGATAGCATCACAAATTTCATTCGCTTCTCTAGTATTTTCTGATTCGCCGTATAGCTAGAAAATCAATAAAGTTTTGCAATTCATCAAATAAATATGTTAATATGACAATTTTTCATATATAAAGTGTTCACTTAATTATTGCATTATACAGGAATCTATGTGTACTAATCCACAGGTCGAATTTTTTTTTTCTTGGCAAAAAACCGTTTCTACAGAAGAGGCTCATATTAAATGTAGCAAGTAACTCAAGAGCCTTCGCAACCCTATCTCTTATCCGAATGTTCATAAATCCGGTTGCAACACCAGGGAAGTCGAAACTACACAAGGCTTTACATGCCCACGGAATACTGGCTTGTGGTTAAAGTAAATATTAATTAGGTGACAATACCAGGAGGTCGAAACCACACAAGGCTTTATGTGCCCACTAATGTAAAAACCAAAAAGATAACCATTTCGTTTCAGATTGAACCGCAAAAGTTGGTATACTTCTTGATAGATCAAATAACGTAATACAAACTTAGAATATCACGCGAAATAATATGAAATACATATGAAGGTTAAAACCTCGAGTATTTATATTATTTGCGCATCGAAATGTTCTTTAAAACGTTTGTATTAACTCTAATTAAAGTAACACAAAAATGACTATACCAACAATACTTTTGCATGCGTAACAGTGGAATTTCCTAAACCAGATTACCACCAAATTTCCTAGGTGACAAATTCTGCATTTCCGCAGACTATTAAATATGGTAACTATGGTATATACTTTTTTTCATTGTCCCATTTGATCTATAAAATTCGGAATAATCATTCTCTATGCTTGTAACTAGGTTGATTATACCAATATTTTGAGGAGTACCCTTGAAAATGGATCAGGCATGGTCAAGTTCTTTAAAACTTTGGAATACACGTTCTCCCAGCGCGATCAAGCAGAGAAAGATTTGAAAAGAGCACTTGAAACAATCTCGTCGGAAAATGGTGAACTATCATCCAAAGCACTGGAGTGGCTTCGTAATTTTGACGTCATGATAAAGAGTTCGAGTACGGAACGGCATTGGACCTCAACTAAAGTGAACGAGGAGTGCGAAAAGACTCATTCATTAGAATTAATTTCTGCCGAAAAAGAAGTTAGTATAATCATGGAGTATAAAATTTTTAATGTTTTAATATGCTTAGGCAGTATAAAAACTTTGAATACAGGAACAGCATTTTTATAATGTGATGTCAAATATTGCTGTGGAACATGACAGTGCTAGCGATAATTTCCGAGCCAGAACTCAGGTTAGTTATTTAATCCTTCAAATACATTAATCGCTTATAATACATATTTAAGAGCGAATACTAATTATTTGAATCGCTTGTATACTGTGAATCTTTTTTGTTGTAGGAACGTTTTAACAAGCGTCCTTCATCTTTTGAAGAATCATTGCATGAATTGGATTCAAACAAGAAGGTTGGAATTAAGTCTTCAATACTTATATTACTTCAAGTGACAAATAACTTATTGCCCCTCCGTATCATGATTTAGATGAAATTAAATGGCACAACTCCTGATAATTACGAAACTTCCGCTGATACTGAGCAAGAGACGGATGAAGTGACACTTATCGACCCGGAAAAATTTAAGGGAACATACCTGGAATTGGATCCCAACCAGATGTGGACATTAAAAAGTGGTCGCAAAGTAGAAGAAATTATTTACGAATTTGCCAGAAATCTTTCCAGAGAATCATATTTACATTCGTTTATAATCAATGACGTTGATGTGGAAACAAAATCGTTGTTTACTAAAGAGGAGTGGAAAGAGATCACTACTTCAGAGGTTAAGAACAAGCCAAGTCTCGAACAATCTCATATGGATTTGTTGAAAACGATTGACAATGTTGAAAAATTACAAGAAATTATTTTTGAACCGTTTATGCAAGATGGATCCAAATATGATAAGAGATCTCATTTTGATCTTAATTATATCAATTATTCATATAGAGGAATGTTATTTTTGTGGCAGAAGGAAGAAAATCCTTTCGATTCTGAGAAGCTAGAGGGTTGGTACGAAATGAATGTCTGGAGCCATTTGATCGATCCGGCTTTCCACAATCTGAACATTGATCTAGTACGTGGTGAAGGGATGAGCAATGCGTCGAGCGATAGAAAGAATCTAGAAAGAAAAATAAATGACCGAAAAAAAATCTGAAGAAAGGGCGATGGAGTATTTAGATTGTGTAAGGATCGTCTAGAATTCGGTGCTATAGAAACGGGTCGAAAATGGGAAGGGGAAAAGGGGACTAAGTACATGCACGATTCTTTAAAAATGTGTAAGATGTTAAAAGATATGGTTACACAGCTTGCTATTATATGTGACGGGAGAGAAGAACTTGTTAGGAAATTGGAAGTGGTCGGAATTTTACATGGAGCTAATAGAATTCAAATAATTACGATGGACTATCCAAAAGGATATATTTCTCGTATCAAACGTAGAAAGTTCTGTAAAGTTCCTGGACGTTTAACCAATTCAACTCCACTTGCTTTGGTTCTGAAAGAGATACTTTATGCAAAATCTATTATCTCACGAGTATTGTACATGATAAACCACAAGGATGACGTTAATCTTGAAAATTTCCTTAACGATTCTTCTGATGAACAGGGTGAATGTCATACGTCTTCTCCCAGAGTCAACATACCTCCTACTTTCAGCACCCCGAAGAAAAAGAAACCCGTGATTAATTAAAAAAAATGAGATGTTATGGTATACTTAGTACGAGCAGTTATTATCTTGTTATATATCACATGTCACATGATATAGTATAGATTTGTTTTAGCAAACCTGCATTCATGATCCGAAAAGTAATAAACAAACAAAGTTACTGATAACCTAAATTATTTTTCGCGCATATTACTACTTCTCGAACTTATGCCAAATGTAAGTGAATTTGCATTAGTATACTAACATTCGTAATCGGAATTACCAAAAAGAACGCGCACGTGATCTACCTGAAAAATTTTCTGTATTCATGGGGATTGTGTGATATAAGAAAAAATTCGCTAATACAAAAAATGAACGTTAAATCTTTTTTAAGATAAGTTCGAGTGGTGTTGGTTTGAAATAAGACCGGTTGTGAAGCTTACAGACACTAATTCCATTCAACTTTCTAGGTGACTTACAAACTCGAAGACGTGGAATTGTAACAATGTATGAAATAGAGCGTGGGCCCCTTTGATCGATGATCTATGGGTGAAAGGGTTCATATATCAAGATAGATTTCTCGCTATTATTCGGAAAAAATTAAAGCTTATATTTTTTCGAATTTCAATGAGAAAAAAAAGGGGACTTCGATTGCATAATGTGATGCAACTAACCATATGAAACTCGAAAAGGAAAGATTCCACGGTATCCGATGATGCGTTTAACTCTATGGAATCGTTAGCACAGGTATGTACGATTTTTACCATTTTCGATCATGGTTTTTGATATATATGCTTTATCCAGGCGTTACTATCTTGCCTTTCTCTACTCTAGCCTCGGACTAGAACTTCATCATGTACACACTGGAAAGAATCTATTGCTCGAAATCTGACTATCACGGCGTCTTCACCAAGGATTACTATGCAAAATTTCGTTAAGTGACAATGGAGGTTATTGAGATCGTAGATTTGTGAAAGATAGGGTCAAAGTTGATGACTCTCCAGATAGTAAGAAGGCAAGGATAAAAAAAAACTATATAAAGAATGATTGGGTAGTCTGGCACCATTAGCGGTTGTTTCGCAAATAAAAAATTTTTAACACTACATATGATCACATAACCAATCATGGTTTATCTCTTTATGCTATTATTTTTTACCTTTTTCTCACATTCATTCCAAAAAGAAAAGCTATCCCGGGCAGTTAAGCAAATAGAGTAGGTTATCTGCGATCCAAAGGACCAGGGAGCGATTGTTCCGCAGTATTACGTTTCGCAAAATCGATCTACGATTTGTTAATTAACTTCTAATCCATGATGTGGCACAGTAAAATT